ATTGTGCAAGTTAATGTAAATGTACTATCTCACTCTCTGGAATTTTACCTTTTCCCTATCCATACTTACCCCCCTAATCCTAAATTCCCTTCCCTATAAACTTACCCCCATCGAAAAGAATTTAAAAATTAGATTTCTTTTAGTTTATTATTTCTAGCCCCTTCAATTTCAGAAGAGTGCTGACAGTGGGACTGATTGGGCTGAAGAAGAATTCAGAGGTGTGATTGGGACAAGCTGGACAGCTCCTCGGTTCTGCACATAAAATAACCAATCCAGTATTTAGTCAAGTGGACCTACGTATGTGCTACATATGTAGTGGGACACATCTCTTTGCTCTAAAGCATCTGTTTGTTCCATGTTGATAACAAATGTGTAATTATTGTAAAATAAAAAGATTCTGCTTTAAAATATGTACAATTTGCAAAGTTTAAGCTTTGATTCTAAAAGTAGATCCTTTAGACTTGCTGCCAAGGCCTGCTGATACTTCTTTTTTTTTTTCTATCAAAATGTTAGCCATGTGTATCAGTGGATCTCTTCCTTAATGGTCTTAGTATAGAAATGTGCATGGAAAGAAATAAACAGCTGAAATGTATCTAATAGTTGTGGTAAAATGAGGAGTTAAGATGATCAAGGTTGAATTTCTCTTACCCTGCTATTTAGTGATGCTCTCTAGATAAGAAATCTTCCCCTGAAGCAACCAAGTATAATTTTTGCTAGAGCCAGCTTTTAGGTCTTTAGGTGGTGCCATCCTGTTAGCACCCTCCTCTTATTAACATATTCGGGGGAGGAGGGCAGAGGATAGGATGACTGCTGCTCAGTAATCTAAAGCACTGGTTCTTAACCTTGGGTTACTCAGGGGTTTTGGACTGCAACTCCCAGAAGCCTTCACCACCAACTGTGCTGACTGGGGTTTCTGGGAGCTGCAGTTCAAAAGCATCTGAGTAACAAAGGTTAAGAACCACTGATCTAAAGAAATGCCCAGAGCAAGCATATGCAGCTGCCACTGATTTAATTACCATATAATCCTTCTGAGTTCTGTCTTGTTGTTGGGGGGGGGAAGGGAGAGAATAAAAACATGGGAGGCTGCCATCACCAATAATGGACCCTTCTGATACTAGGTAATATAAGTTTCTAAATAGTAGACCCTGAATGAACAGAGTAAAATTGGAAACATGTACATGGAACTCTGAAAGTCATTTTTACAGTGAAGGCACAGGGTTCAGGGCACCCGGTCAGGTTATTCTTCCTATAAGTGTAATGAGAAATTATGTAGTTTGCAGTTTACAAATCTTCCCTGTTGCCCACCATGAAGTAGTCTTTCCATCTTGATGGAAATGGACCTGTTTGCAGGGGACTTGGGCAAATCTATGAAAAAATTAAAAGAAATGTATTTGTATAAAAAGGATGTTGTCCAGAAACAGCCTTTGCTTTTATTGAGATTTAAGAAATAATGTGCTGTTTCCCCAGCCCCTGCAATTCCTTCTTTATGACATCACAATTAATATATTTAACTATCCTAAAGGACATGTAGCTAGCTGAATAGCTCGGTGGTTTAGGTAACTAGTTACAGAGTTAGTTGGGAGTTTAGTTCCCCATTGTGTCTCCTGTGAGTAGAGCCCATCTGTGTGGCCTTAGGGAAGCTGCACAGTCCCAGCATATGCCCCCAGAAGAAAAGAATGGTACTAATTCTGAGTATTGTTTACCTGGAAAACCATGAAAAGGATCACCATGAGCCAGAATGAACATGATTATGAGCAATATGATTATTAAGTGAAACGTAGCTCAAGAAACACAACCACATGAACAATGTACTGTATTTTTCCATGTATAGAGGCCCCCATGTATAAGACCCCCACTTTTCTAACCCAAAATTTCTTTCTTCGCAAGAAATGGAAAAAGGAAAGCGGGAATTATCAAAGTGCTTTGATCCCTCTCCCTCCTTTCTTCCATGTATAAGACGACCCTAGAATTTTAATCTAAACATTTTAGACACAATTATTGTCTTATACATGGAAAAATACTGTATTGGGAATCGTCAAAGTGCTTTGATCCCTCTCCCTCCTTCCGTGTATAAGATGACCTTAGAATTTTAATCTAAATATTTTAGACACAATTATTGTCTTATACATGGAAAAATACTGTATGGTACTTATGCTTTGGGGGCAAAACATGTATTATGCTATGTCCCAGAATTTATAATGGGAGGGCAGGAATACCACATTCTATGAAAAATAGCAAGGGTTGGCTAAAAAACCCCAGCAATATTCTTTTGACAAACCAGCAAAGATAAATATTTGTTTCACGAGAAGTCTTGAAAGCTATAGAAGTTGTTTAGTGAATTGGACATGCATGCTCTTGCTTGTTGAACAGAAGGCCTCTTCATAGTGCTGCTCTCCTGGTGACTGCAGGAGACTCCTTAGCTGCTGTGCTTGTATGCATGTTTTTAGCAGACTGTATTTATTGCACATCTTAGACTCCAGTGGATTTCCCTTTTCTGTAGAGGTCAATCCTCTCAAATTTAATCTTGTAAAAATAAAAGATTAAAGGAAGGAAAAAGCCATAAGGCCTTCATTTCTAGATCTTGGAAAAGTTACTTTTTGGGCTTTACAGGTTCCCTCGAAAGCATCATCAGTAGTCATGCTTCCTGGAATTATTGCAACCTTTGAATGCTGCCTCTAAGAGGTTTTGATTGGAAGGGGCCTTTCTGGGTTGGGGGGAATGTCAGTTAATCCAGCAGCTGTTAGTTTTTCCCTCCCTGCCTCAGATTTTGAAGAGAGTCATGCGCCTCTACTTAAGAATACTTTTCCCACTCTTTTTCAGTCAGTCAGTCTGGTCAGTTAGAGTTTGTATATGTAGCTGGTATGAAACTAGTCAATCAGTTAAGCTCTGTTCATGTAACCAGTCTTTTATTTTTCTACTACAGTGGTGCCTCGCTTAGTGATTGCTATGTAACCAGTCTTTTATTTTTCTACTATATGCTATTTTTGATCTATTCAGAACTGTGAGCAAATGAAGCCTTTTTATTCTTACCCTTATCAGTGTTTCTGAGTGAGTTACTGAGACAGTAAGTGCCAGTTGAGGAGGACAAACCAAAAAGTCTAATTTGGGGAGCCTACTTTGGGGAGACTTAAAGCTAATTCTGCTCTGTAGGTCCCTGAACTTTGTCTGCTTCATAGTTAGAGGGGTTTTAGCCCCATAATTTTCATTCTTTGCCAAGAATATGTTCTCTTGTTGGGAGAAAGGAAGTCTGTAAATAAAACCAATAAATAAATAAGAATGCTGGCTGTGGAGATTCTGGCAGTTATCTCCCCAAACAGTAGCCCAGTTCTTCAACCAGCATTTTTTTCTTTTAGCTACTGTTCCTACATAAGGGCTCTCCTCCTTGTAAACATGCATTTGATACATAGTACAGTAGGACCCCTGTATCCCCAGGGGATTGGTTATATATACAAACACATGCAATTAGTGAAAAGCACAGATTACAGTATAACTAACAGTCTGTAGGACTCAGAACTCGTCCCCGTACCTGTAATTTTTATCTCAACGGGGTCTCTGTAAGAAGCCCCAAGTTGAACTCTTCCCTCCTTCAGCAAGGTGCTGAAGATGACCTGACCGTCTTTGTCTCACTCACTCTCAATCTTTCTTTCACACATACAATTTTGGTGGCTCTCTGTGTTTCCTCTTATTTGAAAACAATTAAGGATCCATTTTCTTACTTGCTCGGGAGCCTTGAGGGTAGGGCTAGCTGGAAGGTGGGATAAGGCTTGCACTCTTCCACCTGCCTCACCAGCCAAATCAGCTCTTGAGTTCTACCAGGTGAAATGATGGTGTCTTCCCTCCAGTGGCCAGTCTGTTTATTACATACTACATTTAAGGGCTAGCTGGAAGGTGGGAACTGGGAAATCTCTCCCTGGAGGCAGTTTGGCTTAAGGCTTGCACTCTTCCGCCTGCCTCACCAGCCAAATCAGCTCTGAGTTCTACCAGGTATCTTCCCTCTATTGGCCAGTCTGTTTATTACATACTACATTTGTATTTGCTGGTACAGTACAGTGGTGCCTCGCATAACGAGCGCACTATTTAACGATGAATCCGCATACCGATGCGGATTTTGCGATTGCTAATGCGATGGCATACCGATGTTTCTTCGCATTGCGAGGGGGAACAGCTGTCCGGCGGTGGCCGGAACACCCAAAATGGCCGCCGGAACCACCCAAAATGGCCGCTGGAACACCCAAAATGGCCGTCGGAACACCCAAAATGGCAGCCGGAACCACCCAAAATGGCTGCCGGAACACCCAAAATGGCCACCGGAACATGGGGAAACATCGCAGAACGGTGAGTTTTGGGCCCATTTGGAATGCATTAAACATCGTTTAATGGGTTTTTTTGATCCGTATAGTGATGTTTCCCCATAGCGAAGGTTAATCGGAACGGATTAACCTCGCTATGCGGGGCACCACTGTATTTTCATTTAATATTTTAGTACGTATTTTCAGCCAGCGGATAAGTGAATCTGCTGTTATTGATCCAGTTATTGATCCAGTGGATACAAGGGTCCTACTGTACATCTTTTTTGATAGAAATGTTTCAGCATTTTCCCCATTCTCTGAAGAGGCAAAAATGAATGCTCTAACAATTGGTTATGTGGACACCCATGCACTCTGAATATTCATTGATTTGTTGTTGTTTGTTCCAGAATTGGTGATGTTGCTGGAATGGTGGTCAGGCACTACTTGTACCCTCTATACGGACCCACAGAATTACCACAAGTACGGGAAAGAGAATGCCATCGTAATCCTTAATCACAACTTTGAAATCGACTTTCTCTGTGGTTGGAACTTTTGTGAAAGATTTGGGGTTTTAGGGGTGAGTTTTGACTAGTATTTCAACCAATTTCCATTCACCATAACTTTATATAGCCAATTTCCTTTAACCTGGCCAGCTCCTGGCCAGATCCTTCTTTTTTATTTTGCTTGGGAATTTGTTTTGTTTTTGGTTTTTTTGTTTTAATTACAGCTCTGAAAAACTTCCAGGCAGCATGGCCTGGAAAATTCTGAGTGTTGTAGTTCGATAGAAGTAACCTTTCCAAGCTGTTCCTATGGTAGCTTTTATGTGGTTTGACCCTCCTTACTCAGCCTGTAGTATTGCTTTTACTAAGCCTGTAGCATTTGAACTACTGGAAGGAGAGATGTATTGCAATAGTGCATGATGGTGTTTTTCAGGCTGGTACAACTCATGTTCTGTTAAATACAACCAGCAGTCATATATTGTGGCCTGCTAAATGCTTGATAATGCTTTATTTTAGACATCCTGTGCAAGCAGCAAAACAAATATATTTATGAGTTATTAATAGGATCCTGTTTTCTCACAGAATGAGGCAGCTCTTTGTTTCAATATTGAGATGGGAAGAGATAGGGGAAAGATCAAGCTTTTTGTTGGAGGACATAGTCCATAAGAAATGATCTACTTAAGAAACTTGTCAGTGATTTCTCAGATATAAGTATCATATGAGGGATGAGGTTGAGGACAGAGTTACTAGAGTGTTCAGTCTCCAATTCAGAATCTTTCAAGCTATTTACAGTTGATGAGCAGGAATTTCAGGGAAACGTTATACAGTGGTGCCTCACTTAACGACGAAAATCTGTTCCAGGAAAATCGCTGTTAAGCGAAAACATCGTAAAGCGAAATAAAAAACCCAATTGAAACCCGTTCAATGTGTTCCAATGGGGAAAAACTCACTGTCCAGCGAAGATCCTCCATACGGCAGCCATTTTCGCTGCCTGTATATCAAGGAATCCATTCCTAAACACAGCGGGGAGCCATTTTAATTACCCGGTGGCCATTTTGAAGCCGCCGATCAGCTGTTAGAAAATCATCGTTTTGCGAAGAATCGGTTCCTGAAGCAGGGAACCGATTATCGCAAAGCAAAATTCCCCCATTTAGACCATCGTTTTGCGATGGCAATTGCAAAAAGATTATCGTAAAGCGGATTCATCGTAATGGGGAGCGTAAAGCGAGGCACCACTGTAATGTGTCACTGTCTGGTAAGAAGACACAAATGTGCTAGAAATCATTGAGATCGTCACAGTTTTGAGCAAAATCCAACATTGTGCAAGTGGACTTATTTTCTCCTGCTTCCTATAGCTCTCTGTGAGATCACATAAACACCAAAGCAGATTTGGAGAATATGTACAGTATTTAGATTTAGAGAAGGGATTGCCTGTCTCCATTCCCAGAGCTGCCCAAGGTACTTCACTGCCTGAGGCAAAAGAGCAAATGACACACCTTCACTGCCAAAGTCAGCCATATAGTATTTTAGGCCAATCAAGTTATTTTGGTATCTGAGATAGAAAACCTCACAAGGGGCTCTCCCCTTCTGTCAGATATCAATAGGATACAAGGATTTTAAAAAGAGATTAAAATCTTTCCTCAAATGCTTGTTGTAAAAAAAAATCAATCCTAGAGACCAAAAGGCATTCAGAACAGTATAGTTCTGGTTCTCATTAGAAGCTAAGCAGAGATGGGCCAGCCTAAATTCTCTCGAGTAGCATTTTTCGATCAAGATGCTGCAACTGGGAAAGCCCTGTCTCACAATCCACCAGTCTAGCATCTTTGTGTATTGAGACATGTAACACGGCTCTCTTGAGGATCCCAGACTCCAGGTAGGTTTCTACAAAAGGAAATATTTTTCAAATGCTTAGGCCTCAAGCCTGGAGCTTTGTAGACCAAGCTTTATAGATCAAGACCAGAACCTTAAACTGAGTTCGGAGGCAAGCTGGGAGCCATTGCAGTTTGCTGAAGACAAATATTACATGATGTTTGCAGTGTTTATCAGACAACAGCAGATCATTGCATTTTGAATTAACTGTAGCCTCCAAGCATTTTTTGGAAGGGCAGAATCCTGTAGAGCACATTTTCAGTAGTATAATCTAATATGAAAGGGATCACAATCATGATAGCATCAGAATTAATATGAAAATACGTATCTGTCACTTTTATCAAGATCTGCTGAATGTGGGCCATAAACATACACCTACTTTTAACTGCAGTTGAAAAGTGGGTGATACCCCATGGGAAGGCAATATTTAGTTCTCTTGAGAATGCAACAGCTTACAGGAGTTTTATTCCAAAGCTCTGAGTGGCATGCATGTAGAACTGCATGTCACTCGGAGTTTTGCATAAAAATGCACAGTTGCAGACAGTTGCAGACATTTGGAAGTACACAACAGTTCCTTTACTTAGCCCTCTCCCACAATAAAAAGAGTAAAAATGCAAACAGTTCAATTAATTGATACCAAATAATGAGGAGCAGATCTTTCATAAAGTTAGTGGCTCTGAATTGCAACTCTTCCAGGGTTTTCTAGGTATACCCAGAAATAATTTACTATTTCCTTCTTGAGGGACTGTGGGACTGTACAAGCAATATAGGGTGGCTCTTGCCCCCAGAGGCACACTGGGGAGTTAGACTCCCAACGTCTAGCTTTGAGGCCAAGTACTCAGTTCACTGATTTATTGAGCCCGCACAATAAGGTTAGTTAGCTGTCAGTATCCATTCCTGGGGAGATTCCATTTCTTTCCCACTTGCTGTCAGGATTTCATTTAAACTCGGAAGGAATATGGTGGTCTGAGGGGGTTGCTGAATGAAGTAACGATCCCTGCTAATCAAAACATCCCAGAGGTTCAACCCTGCAACTCTGGTTCTAGTCTGAAGAAATAGCTTTTCCAGTCTCTGTTTCTTGTACAGCCACTGACATGAGCTTCGAAAAAAATTAAACATTGACAGCTTATGTCTATGCTTCTCACTCATAGTTTTACTGTTCATCAGGTGGCATTACAATTTCCGTTCGTACTGCCCTGGGTGTATATATGCATAGAAGGAGCAGGGTAATAATTTGATGTGAAGAGACTCAAAAGCTTGCTTGAAATCTGTGAAAAACAATTAAACTGAGGCAGCTTCACTTTCTAGGAGTACTTTAGTTATGACTTGCTTGAGAATATGCATGTTCTGCGACTTCTATATCTGTGTATAGCTTAATTTATTTCCATTTGTTCTTTTTTTTTTCCATAAAAGAGGAAAGTGTGCAGTTCTTGCTTGTCCTCTAAGATAAGCAATAGAAAGGGCAACATTCTTTTAAAAGTGTGCTTAACAATGTAACATTTATTATGGTCCTTATTTGGAATCTATAATGTGTGGGATGTGCTTGTTACTTTTATATATTAAGAAAACTGATCTCAAAAGCCCCTGTATTTGGCTGACCATGAATGATCTAATATGTTGAATCAAACCCTTGTTTCTGGTGCAGTAGAACATCCTGAGAGTTCTTTATGGGAATATGTAAGGTTAAATTGTGTTAGAAAGGCTGAATAATTGAAAAATGTTGTAAAGTGGCTATATTCATTCAGTATAAGAAGCATTTGTTTTCACTTTATGCTGATGCAATGTTTCACACCATTGGTAGTATCTGTTTCCTTTTGACAGTTCAGTAATGCATCTTAAATAACAATGTGGATGTTGACAAACCAGAATGGGGAAAAAAAGAAAAACAAAGAACATTTTAAATCAGAATGCCAACATTACAGTTAAGACTCTTTTATTTTGGTACAGAATAAAGGAGAACATTTAAAATCAGCATAATGCAAATTGCACTGTGTTGATAATGTTCGATCTGCTTGGAAAATCAGGTCCATGAAGTCTGCAGAAAGAATTGCCCCATGTTTCCCATAGGTTTAGGTATTACATTAATATGGATGAATTCCTATATTTTATATAGCATCCGCCAATTATAACAAAAATATTGTCCAAGTCAGTCATTACCTACCTGGTTGCTGTCCCCACAAGTTGTACTTTGTACCCTTTGTATGTCTGTATGCGCTTTTTATGCCAATAAAGGTAAAGTAAAGTAAAGTAAAGTAGAAAGAATCTCCACAGAGTGTGAGTCCCACTAACCCCCACTCCTGGTGGATGTGGATCCCCCAGTAAAACAAACTCATATAGGTTCTAGGCTGGTTTGGAACTCAAGGCAGCTTTTCTTAAAGGAACAGAGTCAGTCCCTATAGGCCCTTCCCTGGTGTTCCCAGGGAGTTGAGTTTCTCGATGAAAGGCAGTGTGATTCCTATCAAAAGACAGCTTACCCTGTTTACTTTTTTAAAACAGTAAAATATGAGAGTTGTTTCTTTTAATGATGGCAACTAACTATTTCAGGGTCTTAGAGGTACAGTTGTAATGATAACTATAAAAAGTAATGTTTCAAGTTCTGTAGAAAAAGGGGTGGTTAAAGACATTTTATTCCTTTTATTGTAGAGGAGAAGATGTTGCTTGTCTGTCACTTGTGTAAAAGCAGGGAAACTTTTCCTCTGAAAAAAAACCCCAAAATAGCAGGTTAATGTTATAGCATGATCCACAAAATCAATATCAGTAAATATATCTATAGAAAGTCTAAGTATGTGGTGATCTCTGATACAGACAGAAATGTGAAATGTAGAGTCAGTTCAGCTCATACATTTTGATCTTTTAGTTCAGGGTTCTCCAGCCTTTTCACCTGGAGGGCCACATAACGTATTTTTTATATTTTTGAGGGTGCGCATACACACATGCCTGTACACACTCCCACCCACACGCACTCCTACCCACCTGCCCGCACACAAACTCTTGCCCGCCTGCATGCCCACACGGGCCAGATAAAAAGGCCAGGTGGGCCAGATGTGGCCCGCGAGCCGTACTTTGGAGACCCCTGTTTTAGTTAAGCAGGTAAACAGACGATATTATGTCAGAGGATATAATTGGCTCCTTGACCCCATTTGAAATGTTAATGGCAGTTCACTCCCACCCACCTGCCCGCACACAAACTCCTGCCCGCCTGCATGCCCACACGGGCCGGATAAAAAGGCCAGGTGGGCCAGATGTGGCCCGCGAGCCGTACTTTGGAGACCCCTGTTTTAGTTAAGCAGGTAAACAGACGATATTATGTCAGAGGATATAATTGGCTCCTTGACCCCATTTGAAATGTTAATGGCAGTTGTCCATTGGCAATTGCAAACTCCTGTGCAGCAGTATAAGATAATGTGCCTAGTGCTATCAGTAATACAGTAAGAATATGTTATTAATGTTTTATTTTGCTGTATATTTACATGGGAATATTTCTATTAAATTTTCAGTTAGGTTATATGCAGTTAAGAATGAATGAATCAGTCCAAAAATTCAGTTTGCATCTGAATCATGCTCTGGGTTTTCTTTTTTTAATATATAAAAAAATAAATACTTGATTTTAATCACTTTCAAAGTAGAGGTATCTGCTTTGAAAGTGATAAAAAGGCAGTACTATGCAGTGTATATTATGTCATCCATCCAAAATTTTCAGGTCCTTCCTTCACACAGTTTATAGTCTTGTCACATTTCTTATATTTTTCATTTCAGCCACGCTTTTGTATTTTAAGAAATTATGAAAGCTCAGCTCCAGTGTTCCCCCCACCCCCAATCCATCCTCTTCTATCTTGCCAGGTTTCTCCCCCTAAACCTTCAGAGAACATTTGACCAAGATGACCTCTTTTTCCTGTGTGTAAGCAACACATACAATTTTTATAAGTGAAGACAAGGTTGTGAAACTGAAAACACTTTCACAGCTTCACCACAGTGTTCTCAAAGATGGCATTATTCAGTCATCAAAATTTTAGAGTGCTCTGAGAAGTTCTCTGGCCCACCCCACAAATTAAAATACATCATTGTGTTCTCTCTTCAGTTGGAATCAAAACAACGAAGAGAAAGAAATCCTAAGCAATATTAAAGTGTTGGTTCATTCACTATCTAAAAGAAGAGAGGTTGGTTGTTGAGAACTAGCATCTCCTTCACCTGGCTTCCTTCTGTGCCAAATGAAAATCAAACACAAATTTTCTTCCATTCATTGAGCATTGAATTCCTACTCAAGGATTGCCTTTCCAAAGTGGCCTCGTTTGCAGCTGGAAGCAGGAATAAAGTGATTAGATGTACAGACACCCTGCCTTTTAAATTAGCCTTTCCTTGTCATACCCCTAGCAATATTTCCTTTTCTGCTTAATGCATCGAGCCTTACTACATGTTTCTTCTGTTTTACAGAGTTCCAAAGTACTTGCAAAGAAGGAGCTTTCATATATGCCTATCATTGGCTGGATGTGGTATTTCCTTGAGATGGTCTTCTGCAAGCGCAAATGGGAGGAAGACCGGAAGACTGTCATGCGAAGCTTGCTTAATCTCCGAGACTATCCTGAAAATTTCTGGGTAAACATCAGCAGTTTTATGGAGCTGTAATGGTTGTTGCCCTTTGAGAGTTGCAGAAGTCATAAAAATACACAACTTTCTGAATTTGGAACATGGTGTTTTCTGTAAATGTCAAAAGTCAACAAGAAAAGCTAGGTTAATGGTTTCTCTCTTATTTTGCTAATTAGGGCCTGAACAAATAGGGTTACCAAGTAAATAAATTATATATTTGTTATGTCACAGTAAAGGTGGAGGAATCGCTTCATAATATTTGGAAATCACAGAGATTGCACAACAGCTCAAACATTTACATAAATTTCCATTAAAAATAGTAGTCGATACTGATTTCTGCCTCCATTTTGGTTATGTGTTCCTTCATTGCTCCATTGCTCACTGTTACGTCCCATAATTTAGAACTCTTTCTGACCTCTGCAGGATATGCAGTGCAATCGTATATATGTCTATTCCCAAATATGTCCTTTGCTTTGGCTTATTACCAGACAATGTATATAAGATTGTGCTCATATGTGTCTGCCTTTAGATTCTAGCTTTGAAAACGTTGATCTAGTTTGTGGCACTGTGTGGGTTGGATGCTGATTTTTCATGAAATCTCTAATTCACCTACTTTTCATATCAGCTGTTTTAACAGAACCTGTGCTTTTTGGCCAGATAACACTGGCATTTTTCAGAATTCTGTGGCATGTTACTGGGGAATGGGTACTGAGCTAAAGCCTTGAGGGCCCCCCCAAGTTTTGTGATCTTTGGTCTTTTCTATCACTTCTTCCAGCTGGATTGTCAAATTGCTGTTTTGCAATTGACAGTTACTTCTCCAAATGCACCTCTTTAAAAAAAATCTTTAAAAATTAGGCTTGCGGTAGTAAGTAATGCATTATGTCTGAACAGTGCTGTTTTCCAGTTGTTTGTATTAAAAAGTGGCCTTGGATATGTCAAAAGCAGCTGAGTTGAAAGGCAACTCCTCCCAAAACAAATAACAGCTTTGGATGATTTTCGTCCAAATCACAATCAAGGAAGAAAGAGTTTTAGCATTTTGACCTGTAAATTGACCAAAATAGTGCTTGCACTAATGGGGAGGCATAATGAATGAATCAATCAATCAACCAATCAATCAAGCCAAAGCCTATAAGTCATCAGAAAACCTTTACACTTCAATGCAAATATGCATTTAACTTGTCACATCTTGCTTAGTCCTTAATGCAGCTGCAGTCAATGGAACTTCCTGTCCTATAACTGCATGGAAGGCTATGCACTGTTCAGAGGGAGAAGGAAGAATTAAACCTTCTCTCCCTGTGAATGGTGGTCTTGATCCACATCGGAGACCTTATTTTGGAATAAATATGAAATGAGGATGAGAGATTGATAAGCAATTTAATTTAATTTGATGTAAAATTCAGCATGAAAACTGCTAAAATCTGAAGGCAATATTGAAACACTGAAAGCACTGCAAAAGATAGGATAGATAAATTGTGCTCATCATGAACATGTTTTCTCTGTACAAGAAAGAAAGATGGTAACTAGAGTAGCTGGGTGGAAAATGAATGATAGTGCTAGCCTGGCATTGATATCTGTGTCAGTTGCTGTTCCATCGAAACCCCATAAACCAAGATCCCAGAGCGTGCTTCTGCAACATTACAGTGCACCCTTTGCAGCCTGGTTTGCTTTCTTCATAACAGTGAGGCTTTCAGTGGCAAAATTCTTAAGTGTATTTCTCTGATTTGTTTGTAGTGCTGAATCAGCAATGATTGTTTTCATTTGCGCAAACTGCACCAGTATACATAAAACAATTGTTTTGTTGTAGTTCTTTTTTGCCATTTGTTTTCCTCATTAAGCTTCATTTCCTCCTTTCAGTTTCTGATTCACTGTGAAGGTACAAGGTTCACAGAGCAAAAGCATGAAATCAGCATGCAGGTGGCTGAAGCCAAAGGCCTACCCAAGCTAAAGTATCATCTCCTGCCACGGACAAAGGGATTTGCCATCACTGTCCAGTGTTTGAGAAATGTAGGTAAGGAATGGCACACACAACACATTCTAAGACATTATTTTAAATCTCTTTTCATGATTTGTTGTGTACTTCATTAACAGCCAGCATGGAATAGTGGGTAGAATAATGGACTAGGACTTGAGAGGTGGGTTTGAATCCTGCTCAGCCGTGGAAACCCATGGGGGCATGGAACTGGTACCCCCCCTTAAATATCTCACTTACCTTGAAAGCCCTGTGAGCCATGCTGGATCAGGCCAAGGGCCCATCTAGTCCATCTTCCTGTATCACAGTGGCCCCACCGGATGCCTCTGGGAGCACATGAGACAACTAGATACCTGTTTCCTGGTTTTGTTGGAGTTCTTTTTTGAAGTACCTTCCTTTTAAGCCTGGAGATTATACATCCCTGTGGCGACTGCCCACATCACTGATGTCACTCATATTCATGAGCTGATTTGCATGAACCTATAGGAGGGCTGGAAAGGTGGAGTCAGCAGCTACATGAGGCTTGGCTGGAGAAGGAGGAGTCACATAGGGCTGGTTAGACAGATAGGGTTAGTCAGAGAGAGAGAGCTGGTTACAGATATAGGTGGTGAGGGTGGCAATGAAATTGCAAGGGAAAATAACTATGTACTGAGGGAACTGTTGATGAATTGCTTATGTATACTGAATATCTGATGAACTTCTGTTATTACTCATTCTGCTTCACTTCATTAAATAAGTTCTGTTTCTGTTCACAAGACAAGTGTTCTGACATATGTCATTTATATTATGGATTGAAGTAATCCACTGGTGGCAGCGAAAGAGAACGTGACATGCGCTTTTGTGAGGGAATAATAAACAGGGAACATGTGGGTATTGTGACAATTGGTGTCAGCTTGTGGGATACGTAGTGTTAGCCCTTGGTTTGGTGAAACAAGCAGGGGCCACGAGGGTAAATGTCTCAATCCCCATCATGGTTTGTAACCTGCGATGGACGTTTCCTCCAGAAATCTATCCAATCCCCTTTTAAAGGCATCTAGGCCAGATGCCATCACCACACCCTGTGGCAATGAGTTCCACAGATTAACAACATGCCGGGTAAAGAAATATTTTCCTTTGTCTGTTCTCATTTTCCCAACACCCAGTTTTAAGCGAGGCACCACTGTACTGAGGAAACTTGATGAATTGCTTATGTATACTGAATATCTGATGAACTTCTGTTATTACTCATTCTGCTTCACTTCATTAAATAAGTTCTGTTTCTGTTCACAAGACAAGTGTTCTGACATACGTCATTTATATTATCGATTGAAGTAATCCACTGGTGGCAGCGAAAGAGAACGCGACATGCGCTTTTGTGAGGGAATAATAAACAGGGAACATGTGGGTATTGTGACAATTGGTGTCAGCTTGTGGGAGACGTAGTGTTAGCCCTTGGTTTGGTGAAACAAGCAGGGGCCACGAGGGTAAATGTCTCAATCCCCATCATGGCTTGTTACCTGCGATGGACATTTCCTCCAGAAATCTGTCCAATCCCCTTTTAAAGGCATCTAGGCCAGATGCCATCACCATACCCTGTGGCAATGAGTTCCACAGATTAACAACATGCCGGGTAAAGAAATATTTTCCTTTGTCTGTTCTCATTTTCCCAACACCCAGTTTGAGTGGATGTCCCCTGGTTCTAGTACTGTGTGAGAGGGAAAAGAGCTTCCCTCTATCCACTTTATCCATCCACTGCATAATAAGTCAGTTCTGACTAAACTAGATGGTATGAGAAAGAGAAAGAGAGAAGGAAGGTTGCCACTCGCTCACACCAGCCCCTAAAGCAGGCAGTGTTTCTACGCATCTTAAGAAAGCTCATTTACCTAGTGTATTGATTCATTATAATCTTGAAACAGTGCTACATCTGTTCCTTCAAATCCCTCTTCAGACTCAATAAGTTCATTGAGATGCATGTATCTTGATTTAATAAACAGATATATCTGTGAGTCTTTGAGGAATAAGCAAACTTAGGTGCTTGGTGCTTTGCTACTTCACTCCCATCATTCATAGGTTTACCATCATGAAGTGGTGCAACTCCCATCTCCTCCTGCCTCGTTGGTATGTGCTATCCTTTACAATGAAGGGAAAGTTTTCTAGTTACTGAATGTAGTAGTATTTTATGGAACTAATTAAATTACCAGAAGAAATTCATGTTTATTAGCTTTATACACAAGCCTGAACAAGAACGTAATTTGTAACTTCCTGATATGAACTGTGTCTCTTTGCAGGTGGATTGTGAAGTTTCAGATTTCTTTTGTTTTCAGACCTGTTTTCTTTCAGTCCCTCTTTGAAGGGAAGTAAAAAGATGTTTTCATCTTTTATTCTCTACTATGTAACCTCTGATGGTGATCTTGCAATCTATTGTTGTTGTTTGTTGTTTAGTCGTTTAGTCGTGTCCAACTCTTTTTGACCCCATGGACCAGAGCACGCCAGGCCCTCCTGTCTTCCACTGCCTCCCAGAGTTGTGTCAAATTCATTCTGGTAGCTTCAATGACACTGTCCAACCATCTCATCCTCTGTCGTCCCTTTCTCCTCTTGCCTTGCAATCCATAGCCTTTATTTTATTTTATTTTATTTTATTTTATTGAGTTTATACCCTGCACCATCTGGCAACCAGGCCACTCTAACAAGAATATCAGCAACAATATTAAAACACAATAAAAATAAATTAATACAATTAATAACCAAATAGGGTAAATTAAAACAAATAGTGATGGAGGTAGCAAAAAGGGGTGATGGAGAGGATGGCAAAAAGGATGGTAAAAGGGAGGCTGATCCGGGAAAACCTGGCAGAAGAGCCAGGTCTTCAGTGCTGTTTCAAATCCATCCAGCTTCATTCAATAAACATGCTTCATTCATCTTCCTCAACTCCACCACAGACATCTGAAAAAAAAATGCTTCTAAAAACAGACCCCACATATAGTACAAGCTGCAGATCGTGAATGTGACACCTCTGTAAACAGTCTCATTGTGTTCCCACCCTCGATGCTTCACAAATGACTGACTGGCTTCTTCAAACTATGTGTACTATATTCTGTAACAATGTCTGCTGTTCCCAAGGTTGTTGGAGGTCTTCCATAGTGGTATGTTATTTGTGTTCAGTTTCTCATCTCAGAGAATATACTGCAGTAACCACCATATCTGCATAATCTTTCCTTAATTCAATCTGAATATTTTTAAATCTGCTGCTAGTTGAGTCCCTTCATTATTTTAATTTTGGGCTTCTCTCTTCCTGCACAGCCCTTCAGGCCAGGATATGCGATGAGTGATTTCATCCCTGTCAAAACAAAGAAACAAACAAAAAACAAACAACCCTATTTTTGATTTGTTGAAAAAGTTGACGAATCTCAGTCAAACAGACCAAATTGGCTCAAAAAACCGTACAGGTTCAGCTTCCAAGTAATTTTTTTAAAAGATAAAAACAATAGCAATTTGATTTGTCGTCGTTTCGATTTGTATCAGTGTCAGAGTGGGGAGAGGGAGCAGTGAGTTTTCCCCTCTCCTGGTCTGGGAAAGGTTGTTACAAACTCCTTTTAATGTGCATATTGGGACATTTACACTTAGAACAAACCATATTTTTTAAAGTAAAAGGTGAATGATTCATGACATTTAGTAGTTTGATGGTTCCCAGTGAGAAAATGTCAGCAGTTTCTGTCCTGAATGAAATGTTTAGTAAACCAGAAACTAGGTAATCTCTTAAATCAGTGTGGAAAAATAGGTTGTTGGTGAGAACTAACAGGCTTAACTGTGGATTGATTGACTTTGCATCATTAGTCCTAGTAATCTGCTGCTGAACAAGCACTCCTGCTCTTTTGGAGGACTGTGCTACCTGGCATATAGAACACACAGTCCCTTAGATCTATAATTCAATTTGTCAGTTCACCTTGCATTACAGTTTAGACCATCGCTGTTGTAGCATTTACTGGATGTTCCATTGCTTCCAGAAAGTGAAAGCACAAGCTCCAGAGGCCATTTTCATTGTACTAGTGGTATATTAGATCCAGTTTCTGTATTTGCTATCTTTTTCTTATGCTCACTCAAGCTGTAAATTTAGAGTAAAGCTGTAAACTATGTTCGTTCCTTCCTTTTTTCTGTCATTCTCTCTCAAGTATCTGCAGAAGTGTCTTAAAAATAAAGTACTTCTTAAAACCAATACTGTTTGTATGAAAGATCTGGGATATTAATGAATTTCTCACTCTAAATTTCATATAACCTGGCAATTGTTCTTCATCTAAATGGATGTATTGAGCTCATTCCAAGAAAGCAAGGGAGAGTGCCCTGTGTCCACCTAAGAGACTGTGATAAGAAGTCAAATGACCACCTCTGTGATGGGTTAATGCCTCCTTCTTTCCACTTTTGGCTAGTTTAAGGATTGCAGGACTGTGGTGAGTGGGCAGGGTAGTATAAGGAGGATCTCAGGTAACAAAATTCCTTCTCAGATTTTTTGCCACTCATCTCCTGGTATTTAGTAGCTAAGAGTCTGGAGATCAAATTTAAAATGTTGTTGTGTTCAGTGTTCAGTGAAAGTTTAAACTGAAACTTTAAAGGGGCCTTGGTGTCTTCTACATTTGTTAGACTAAAATTCTTATTATCCCCAATCAGCTTGGCCACATTGTTCATGATAGGCTACACCACTCACCAGAGAGGATTTCCAAGGTCACAAACTGACTTCAGGGAGGAGGAGGAGGGAATAGAGATTCTGTGAATGTCCTCAGATTACATTATCTCAGGACTAGAACACCTCCATTTATCCATCTGCTGTTCTCAAAATCACTACTGATTATGTTTTCATTTATTTAAAACTGTCCATATGGCAGTTTCACAATCATGGAGAGCTGGGTGTTCATTGGCTTTGGTCATACGGTGATCTAGACCTCAGTATGTTTGTGAACTACGACTTGAAATGGTTAACAACTGCTATGGCTAGGAGACTAAATGAATTTATGACAGAACATATACTCCAGATCAGACAGACTTATATAGATGGATAGCTGGTGGACTTGGTTATGAAGGTTCTTAACATTTTTCATTTTGGAAATAAAAATAAACAAATCAGCGTTGTTATTCTTAGATGTGTTAAAGGGCCTTAATAGAATTGAATGACCATATTTGTTTACACTATTAAAAAGTGGTCATGGATATTTTAATATCTCAATCCCTGAACCCAATTGGGACAGGTTATGGATTTTGCCCCCATATAAAACCATATCAGCCGGAGGGTATCGCACACCAAAACAAATTCATAGTTGTCCCTCTGCACAGTGAGCCAATATGGGTTGAAAATCAATATTTGCTGTAGTGCCAGTGGGCCTGTGAAGAAAGAGGATAAACATAACAGGCCAACCAATTCTGTTTGAGAAGACACTTTTATTGTTCTCTTTGTTCTTAGGGAAAATTAGCGATTAATCCACAAAAATTGATTGCATTTCTATTAGGAGCTGTGCAACTTTAAATTGTTCAAAGATCGAAAATGTAGAAAGTAGTGAATTAAATGCATATTGTTTGACATTTGACATGAAAGGAGCACAAGATGAAACTAAGGAGAGCCTTTTCTACAGTGCCTGATATACATTTATTATTACCAAGGTCTGAGCTAATTTTGGTCCACCAGTTTTTCATACAAAACTGGATCTGTGTTTTCTTAATTGCCTTTAGACATTTCCCGAGGCAACTAATATAATATTGGTATTGTGATTTCCTATAACGTATGTTGTATGCCACTCAGAGACCACTGGTAATGGCACTGCCAAAAAATCTTGTAAAAAAAAAATCTCCCTGTCACTCACTATTATTTTGTGGATTTCAATCCCTTCTTCTTGCTCAGGGGAGATGGAATGAGGCACCTCACTCTCCTTTCCGTCTTCATGCAACAGTCCCCTGTCTCAGTACATTTTATTGTTAAAATATTTTTTAAATTAGGAGTACCATATTTTTCACTCTATAAGATGCGCTTTTCCACCCCAAAAAAGTGGTGGGGGGGGTGGAGTGTCTACGTCTTATGGAGCGAATACTGTAAAACAACGCTTCCCAGGGCCCAGCGGAGGGATGGTAGGGGGAGCCTTGGAAGGGTCCGAGGGTGTCTTCCAGTACCCTTTGGAGGCTCCACCCACCCACCTCTGTGGGGCCAGCTGGGGCAAAATCACGACCTTTCCAAGCCTCAGAAGGATCCTGGAAGCTGGCAATTTCACCCTGCTGGCCCCGTGGGGGGCAGGGGAACCTCCAAAGGGTCCGAGAGTGCCTTCCGGGATCCTTTGGAGGCTCCCCCCACCCCCACAGGGCCAGTGGGGACAAAATTGCAACCTTCCAGGACCCGCAGGAGGGCAGGGGGAGCCTCCAAAGGGTCCTGGAAGGCACTCTCGGACCCTTCCAAGCCCCCCCCACTGTCACCTCCGCGGGCCCAGCGGGCTGAAATTGCCAGAATATTTTTTTCCTGTTTTCCTCCCCTAAAAATGAAAAAGTGCATCTGATGGAGAGGTGCGTCTTATGGAGCGAAAAATACGGTACATTGGATCTCATACTGCAGAAGGTCTTAGTTATTTTCAATCCAATAGACTTTTGAACTTTTGCGTAATTGCAACAGTTGATCTGTGAGTATAATGAGTGTGTTTCTCTTTATAGTTTCAGCTGTGTACGATTCTACACTGAACTTCAGAAATAATGAAAATCCAACTTTGCTGGGAGTTTTGAATGGAAAGAAATATCATGCAGATTTATATGTAAGGCAAGTATTTCTTGAGTGGTTTATTGTGGTAGTAATGAAAGCACCTAATAAAACTCAGATCAGCCAGTACATTGCCAGCACTTTGGACTCACCTGTATATTATACGATAAAACTCAGATCAGCCAGTACATTGGCAGCACTTTGGACTCACCTGTATATTATACCAGAATATATCTGCATGTTGGCCCACTGATTATTTCATTTTTATTGGATTGCTACTGTGCACCTCATTCTAAATGGAAGGAAGTAGGTTCTTTTCTCCTCCTTCTTCACTCTACACTCCCTTCTTTTACCATTTGTAGACGAATTCCATTAGAGGAGGTCCCAGAAGATGAGCAGGAATGTTCTAAATGGCTCCACAAACTCTATCAAGAAAAGGTTGGTTTATTATTTATCAGATCTTGTGATGATTAAGATTCTACATATATTTTACCCACCTGGAATTGAGTGATAATCTCTTTGATGCTTGTGTAAAGTAGTTTTTCTTAATGCATTAAGAAGACAGACATTCATAACCAGGAAGAAAATTAAAATAACACGAAGAATAGAGTCTGCTGCTTCCTTCCTGTAGCTACAGCCCAAATCACATCTGCGGCTGCACTGTACAGGATTTATAAGACATTATATGGAACACCATTTTTCCACCTTTCCAATTGGCTGATAGCTTCAATTGGAGTACAAATTCTTAAGCAAGTATATTACAAAGAAAGACATTCTGTTCTGCTCCATGTTCAGGGTTTCTAGTGTCCTCCAAATTTAGTGTGATCTCAGAATTCACTTATTTCACATTTGAGAAAGAAGGTTTTGTGAATTCAGGTGGAAAAATGAAATTGTTCTCTCAAGCAGCCTTCTTTTCTTTTTGGTAGAAGTAGTTGACCAATTCCCCAAAATAGATGTCTTCAGTTGTTCAAGAGAGGAGCTGAGGAGTTGGCATTTAGCTAGTCATGGAGTCGTTCATATCCTGCTTCTGTGAAAAGATGCACTGTTTCTTCTACCATTATATAGGGTTGTTTTGAAGATGAAGTGAGATCGCTGTGTGTGCAACTCTCTAAACGTTTGGAGATGGTTGATTGCAGACAAAATAATTATAAATAAATAGCAACTGGATTTCTTCTTTGTGGTTTGTGTGAATCACACATATGGGATCCCTATGTCAGAGTGACATTCTGGAATGGTCAATAGCTGAGCACTTTTGGCAAGAGCTCTGCCCACATGTGTGCGGTGCATGACCAAACATATCCAAAGTGGATCCTGTCAGTTCCTTTTCATCTGTCTGAACAGTGATAGCAGAGGAACTTTGCTGAGCTCTTATTCTTCCTCAGCTCCTTTTTTTTGGGACTTCGCCCACTATTTCATGACCTCTATAGACCTTTTCAGAGAGTGTGCTGAGGGTGGGCCAGAGACATGATTTCACAGACCAATGGTCACGTTAAGTATCTGGTTCTCTAGAGTCATTCTGTCACCTTTGTTCTGGAGTTTCTGTCTTCACTGAAATATCAGAGTTTTTCTTCCTCTTCTACCAAAATCTATTTGGCAGATATTTCATTTTACCGCTCCAGTATGTTGCCGGGATTTCAGTTGACTACTCCAATTTGTTACCAGGCACATTATTTTTGGACCCAGTTAAAGGTTATCTCAGAGGTCTGAAAAGCCTCATTCTACCTGTTTGCCCTCAGACACTATTCCTGGACTTTTTTCAAATGACGAAACAATTCTTTGAACCTTTAGCCTCCTATGACCTACAGCTAATGACCTGTAAGACTGCTTTCGTTGCCATAACTTCTGCTCAGAGAGCCTTAGAATTATGTGTCTTTCAGTCAGATCCACCTAAATCTTCTACACTGACAAGGTGGTTCTGCATTGAGACATGGCCTTTTGTTTCATCTTTCAATTTCATCCAAGATACAGTGCTTCCTACCTTTTCCCATGCTCCCACATCCTTGTTGGAGAAGATGGTCCATATGTCGGACATTAGAATAGCCCAGGCATTCTACACCTCTAGAAGACAGAGTTTTCCCAGACTTCGTATATGTTTTTCTGCTATGCAAAGTATAAGAAGAGACAGCCAATGTCTTCCCAGAGACTTGCACGCTGGATCATGGACTGTACATCCCTGACCCACAAGATGGTCAAGCCCCCCCTTCAGCTAGAATGAAGGGCACTCAACCAAATGCACCTTCTTTTAGAGTGCTTTTAGTCTCCCATATGTGTGATTCCGAGAGACCACGAAGAGGAACAGTGAATTGCAGTTGCATCTGTGCTGCTTCAAGTGGCCTAATGTGAATTCACATAACCCATCTCCTTCCCTTTTCAGTGTCACTAACCATTGCTTTCTCTAGGTGGCAGATTGGAATTCACTTTGAGGGGGTTCACTTTGGGGGTGCTTAGTCATGTGCAGTATAGAAGGTGGGCAGGGTTGCCACCAGAAATGCTCAGGTATCTTATGTTCTGAGATGTTGCATTGTGTGGGCACAGAGAATCCCATATGTTGAACTAATGGAAGATTAGTTTGAAGAACTACAGTTGAAGAATTGTATTGAAGAACTACAGTTACAATTGCAACCTGTCATTTCAATGAAGTATTTTTAAGATTCTGAGGGGTCTAAATATTTTGGAAGCCTCTGCACATACTTCAGAACTTTAGTCAGGGACCAAGTATTAGTACACACCGTGGCACAGGTTGTAGTCTGCCTTGTGAAAATGGAGGTGAGTGAACATGCTAATGTGGGAGCAAACAGCTAACACAGTTCTTCCTTCTTTAGTCCTTATCATTATCACATTGGGTACCTTTCTTCCATGGTTGTCTTCAGTAAACATCCCTGTAACCTCTGGAACATACGTAACATCCTAGCTACCTCCTTGTATTGTGTGTAATGGACAAAGGATGAGTAAGAAGGCTTCAGACAAAGCTAAACTAAAAACAAATATAATTGACACAAAAGGTTTTTCAGACTCTCTTGTGAAGAACAGCTGCTAATTAAAAGCAGCCATTTCATAACCAAGAACAGAATACCAAATGGCGGAATAAACAAGTTTGTCTCCTGCTCCACATTTGAACATATATTTTATCACTGCCAGCTTCCTTCGAACACTTACGTGGATATATAGACTACATTTACCAATGTAGATATTTAATTGCATCTTACCTTGCACCACTATTATGAAATGACATAATTCTACATTCCTTGCCTTGAATTTCCTTTCCCCTGTAGGTGAAGATCCAAGAAATCAAAGGGAAATTTAAGCCTAGGTTAGGAACGCTGAATGACCAACAGGGATGCACAATCTGACCAGGAGGAAATAAAGAGAACGTAGAAACAGTATGCTGAAGTCCTATACAAAAGAAATAAAAGGATGATAGACTCCTTTGAAGCGGACTTTTATGATGAAGAACCTGAAATTCTAGAAAGTGTAGCAAAAGCTGCTCTGAAACTGCACTGGGATGAAATCACCAGGGTAGATGAAATACCAATAGAACTATTTCAAGCCACAGAGACTGAACCTTACAATATTCTAAAAAGAATATGCAAACAGATATGGAAAACAAAACAATGATCTGCAAAACATTGACTGGCAACATTCAATGTGCATTCTAATCCCCAAGAAAAGGAGATGCCACTGACTGCAGTAACTATAGGAGCATTATTCTAATTTCCCATGCAAGTAAAGCAGTGGTCAGAGTGTGGCAATGAAGGCTTTACCTTATGTGGTAGAAGAAATGCCTGAAACCAAGAGACCTATTACAAGCCACAGAGACTGAACCTGACAATATTCTAATATGGAAAACAAAACAATGACCTGCAAAACATTGACTGGCAACATTCAATATGCATTCTAATCCCCAAGAAAAGGAGATGCCACTGACTGCAGTAACTATAGGAGCATTATTCTAATTTCCCATGCAAGTAAAGCAGTGGTCAGAGTGTGGCAATGAAGGCTTTACCTTATGTGGTAGAAGAAATGCCTGATGTTCAAGCTGGATTCTGAAAAGGAAGAGGCACTTGAGATCATATTGCAAATATCCACTGGCTACTGGAGCCTACCAGATAATTTCAGGATTATTTCTAGTCTGTGCTTTATAGACTACAGCAAAGCCTTTGACTGTGTGGAAACTATGAGTTATTCTGAAAAAAAATTGCAGGACTGCAATTGAAAATTAAGAAAACAAAAATAATGATTACAGAAAAGCCACAAAAATATAATGTTGACAGTCATCGATCCAAATGGAGACTGCAACTAAGAAATCAACCACAAAAATTTAATGTTGACAGTCATCAATCCAAATGGAGACTGCAACTACGAAATCAGGAGAAGACTGAGACTCCCTAAAGGAAGCCTCAGACTTGAGTTTGCAGGAACTGAGCAGGGGGAGAAGACTGAGATTCCCTAAAGGAAGCCCCAGACTTGAGTTTGCAGGAACTGAGCAGGGCAGTTGAGAGCAGAACATTTTGGAGATAGTTCATTCATAGGATCACCATATGTTGGAAGTGATTTTGGTGGCGTGTAATAACAAAAGTGATGGAGACTTCTCATATTAGTTTTCCTTGTATTGGAAGTGATTTTGGTGATGTATAATAACAAAATGGATTGAGACTTCTCATATTAGTTTTCCTTGTATTTTTTAAAAAATGTTGGAAAATACTGAATTATTTAAAGTATTTTTCTTAATGGCTGTACATTTATTTCTTCAGAGTATATAAGCTGGATCTGCTGAGGGACTCAGAAAAACAGTTATGTACATTGAATTGAATAGACGCATTTGCTTTATTAGGGCATATTTTTCCATAGCCAGCAAACCTCTCTCATTACTTAGCATAGAACTACAGTGGTGCCTCAATTTATGACCATAATCCATTTCAGAAGATGGGTATAACTTGAAATGGTCATAAGTCAACGCACCACTTCCGATAGGAATGCATTAGAATGCGATGAATCCATTAAAAAAAAAATCACAAAAAAACCCCACAACCCACTCCAAGCCCTATCGGAATGCGGTGGGGCTGGGGGGGGAATCAACCCCCCCCACACACAGCCAGCCCCATCAGAATGTGATGGGGCTTGGGGGGAAACAACCCCCCCCACACAGCCAGCCCCGTCGGAACATGATGGGGCTGGGAAAACACACACCAAAAAACAAACAAACAAAAAATCAAGGCACAGAAACATCATCCCCCCCAAACCCAAACCTCCCCTGCAAATCCCTGTAAATGTACTCACCCAGAAGCAAAAAGCAGCACCAGGCAGTCCGAAGCGCCTCTGCAAATGCGCACACACTAACCGTTGGGGCGAAAGAGTGGTCGTATAGACCAGATGGGCGGGATATAAATAAAATAAATAAATACATACATACAAAGAAGCTCTTCGCCGACCAACGGTTAGCCCTCTAATTTGAGGAAGTGACTGACCCTGTACGGACCAAGCTCCACCCGCTTCCCACCTCACCTCTCCATGGTGCTTCCTGCTGGGCCATGCGGTGCTTGAGAGCCGGAGCCGCCCACTGCCTCCGATATGGAAAACAAAACAATGGTGCTTCCTGCTGGGCCATGCAGTGCCTGAGAGCCAGAGCCGCCCGCTGCCTCCTTGGAAGAAGAAGCACCTCCTCTGCTGCCTCCTCTTCTTCCTCCTCCTCTTCCTCGTTCACCTCTCCTCTTTCCTCCTTGTGCTACGTGCTCCATGCTCTGGGTGCACCTGGCATATAAGACGACCCCCCCACTTGGAGGCATGTTTTTCAGGGCAAAAAAGTCATCTTATATGCCAGCAAATACGGTAGGGACATTCCTAAGTTGAGGCACTACTGTACCCAAGAAAAGACATGAAACAGAGTAGATAATTGAATTTCTGTGGATGACCAGTTAGTCTGGAAAACACTCCATATGAGTATGTGGCTGAGATTGTGTCTGGACCCCAAGTGTGGTTTTGGGGGCATAAGCCAATGAAGCAATATGTGAATTGTGCCTTCACGTGTCCAGTACTCCACACTGAGTCTAATCTTTCCAGTCCTTTTAAGAAGAAGGAATCCAGTGCATATCAGAAAATATGTGTATACATTTAAGCTTTCTATCTGTGTTGTGTTTTGCATTCTTATAATGCAATCTTATAACACTTTTAGCAATGGAAATAAGGGGAGTAAAAGGGGCATGAGAAAAGTGGTTTCAGCACATATCACAAAATTGACCTTTGTTCAACATAATGCAGCCATTTGAATTTAAACATTCCCTGCCTCCCGCGTGGTTTTTTTCAGTTCTTAACTCAAATCTAAGTACTTAAGTCAAGTCAATATTTTCCTATGAGAGTAGTTCTTAAGTCAAAATGTTCTTAACTCAAGTCGTTCTTAAGTCAAGACCCCACTGTAATGCATAACGCTTTTAGCAATGGAAATAAGGGGAGTAAAAGGGGCATGAGAAAAGTGGTTTCAGCACATATCACAAAATTGACCTTTGTTCAACATAATGCAGCCATTTGAATTTAAACATTAGTTTATGCCCTTAGCGTAAATGCATGCACATCAGTTAACATAAACACATGTAAATGATTTGAATAATTGCTACTGTTGGTAAATTTTATTGCATGGTTTCTCCCTTTGTTCCCTGGATTTTATGTGAAGTTCTAGGGCTTTCATTGTATATTACCACAAACCCCTGGTAGTTGGACATGGTTTTTAACTTAAATAAATAAAATCAATAGTTGCGGGGGACATTATTATTATTATGATATCATTCACAACTGAAATTACGGAGATCGTTTATTTTTGTTTATGCAAACATAAAACTAGACCAAATTGAATTAATTAATTAATTAACGGCACTAATTCACTGGAGCTACATGCTTATTGCTGGTAATAGGAACTCAGACATTCTGCACTGTGGTATGTAAAATTCTGTGCCAGAATCAAACAATTCTCTGCATTTGGTCAAATTCTCTGTGATGGAGATTTCTTAAATCTGCAGAGTTGGTTTGTTAGGGCCTGGCAACCTAAGTGTAGAAAAGTGTGTGTTTATATAACCTTTTGAAGTTCTGTGGGGCTGTTTGCTTACAATTGATGAATCTTGCAAATACCATTTCACAAAATACGTATCTTCTTACTTGCATTCATATAAAAGACAACACGAACAATTATAACAACAAAACAATTTGTGCGCCCAGGTCCCTTGGCAACAGCACCAATACAAACTCATAGAACTTGCAAAGTTCAAGTGTCCTTTTGATTTCAATGGCAGACAAAAACCCAAGATATCTTTCTCAACTGGACTGAGTATCCAGTGGAGCACAGGAGAATATTCAGAACCCTAAAATAAAATATCAATACAATTTTATGCAATTCATGAATTCTTTAGCACTCCCTCTCCTTCTGAGATTCAAACCTCTTAATCCCAGCCGTGCTCTTTCTTAGTCCCACCCCTGTAGGCTGAATCAATATTTCATATTAGGTTACATTGAGACATAACAAACTGTTTCTTCCGCGATCATCCCTCCACACCAAGAAATACATCAGAGGGAGAAAGAGAGAGAAAGAGATTGTGTGAGAGCGAGCGAGAGTGAGAGCAAGGTTCTTCCAGGAGCAGGCTTAGCTCTAAAGGTTGGAAAGGCAAGAACACTGCTTGCAACTTGTTCTTGGCTTTTCACTTAAGCAGCATCCGTATTGGCACAGCAGTTTGTCTCTGGGCAGTAGGAACTACTTCAGAAAAAAAAGAGAGAAGATTCACCTGTGATTCTCTCCCTGTTTCTAGGCTTAAATTAGGGGAGATTGTGGAAATTCAAAAGGGTGCTGAAGAGAATAAGAATTTTGTTAGGCATAGAGACTGAAGGGAAGATAAATATGGGTGGACTTATATGTTGCCTTCTACTACTTGATACATTCTCTCTCTGTATATGTGTGTGTTCTTTTTGCACCGATCAGGACTCCTTTCAAGAGGAATACTACAGAACAGGAATCTATCCAGGTACTCCAGTAGTTCCACCCCGGCGGCCATGGACTCTCTTGAATTGGCTTTTTTGGGCCTTATTGTTGCTATATCCTTTGTTCAAGTTGCTCATCAACATGACCAGCAGTGGCTCGTCACTCACTCTCGCCACCTTTGCCTTTGTTTTTCTTGCAGGTGAGTTGTATTCAAACTTTCCGCTGTGTCTGGAAGTATTACCACCAGAAAAAAAATGCCCTCTTTCCATTATGCTTTCAGTTTATTCAACTGAAAGGTGCCCATCAGTAGCCCTCTTCATCTGTGAGCACAGGGTGCAGGCTATTCCCATTCCTCTCCCTCTGTGAAGAGCTAAAGCCAAAGAGAGCAGTCCCGTTCTGTAGGGGCTATCCAGGCATTCAGAAAACCTGAAGCTTAGGCCTCACAGTCGTGTGGAGATGCTCAGTGCATGAAGATTGCTCTCTTCAGTTTTAGCTCCTCAGACAGGGATGCTCGGATGGAGAGGGACCAGGCTATTCTGCTGGCTGCTCCCATAGGCTAGAAGTAACCCTTTTACAGAACACATGAACAGAGCTAATTAGATGCACACCTATGCTTTTGGCTGTGGCATAGGTTTGGGTTGGAAGGCCAGAGACAATACCATGCATTAGTTGCTCCATAGACTACTCTGGATGTAATACTGGAATTCAGTTGCCCGGAGCTTCCTTTTGCACTGTATTAATGATAACTGAAACAGAATCTTTGTTTGATGTATTCGCGAAGGCTTTCACGGGATGCATTAGTTGCATTTGTTGTGACAAAACACATTAATCAACCATCTCCTGATTAGGACAATAGCCTCCCTCACAAACTAGCCTTCTCACAGCCACAAATACTCCACCCACTCTCAAGCCTACCCAGAGCACAGTTTGCTGTCCTCTGAAGATGCCGGCCACAGAGACTGGCGAAACGTTAGGAAGAACCACTTTCAGAACACGGCCGAGAAGCCCGAAAAACCCACAACAAGCAGAATCTTTGTTGTCGTCTCTTCTTTGTGGTCTCTGGGGGTCACACCTAAAGAACACATTGAAGCTAGCAAATTTTGAGGTACATGCATATTTGTTTCCCATTCTGAGAAATAAATGGAATAATTCATTTTCCCCCTTAAAGATTGCTTGATCCAAAGGTGATGAAAATAATGAACCTTTCTTGGGACACAGGGCTGTCTACTGCCCTCCCTCCTGATATTTCAGCTCCCATCTCATCAGAAAGCAGTTGCTAAAGAGTAATAGGAAATGTTTGATTTTCCCACCACCACCAACTCTTTTGTCACTTGCATAAATGTTCCTTTAATGAGAAACAGACTTACTTATTTTTGCTTACTTTGTTTGACTTTAACCCAGTCCTTCTTAGAACGAACTCAAGACATGGTGCATGGTTAATTCCTTCCCTTTTGTATTTTATTTTTTTCTACACAAGAAGAGAAATGATTAATTTTTTCAATATCTATGAAAGATACGGAAGTCCTGTCTTTTACTGTCTTCTAGCCACTTTACCCAGTGTGTTTTACACCTGAATAGGAATTTGAAACTGGGCTTTGCCATTCTGAACCCGGTCAGGGATGCGGGGTACACATTTGCTGGGTTCACAATTTTGTATAGCTGTATCCATTTTGTATCTCCTAAAACCTCCAATTCAGAAGAGGTGCATTTTTCCTTGGACTTTCTATAATTTCAGAGGCCTGCACTGTTCTTTAACAAAGAAGAAAAATGGTCATAAATCATAGTCATAATCATGAATATATTTTAAAAATACAGATAAATTTAAATGCATGCATGCAAAACTGTATAGCAAGTGCAAAGTCTAAGAAAAATAGTGTGCTTCCTGGACAGAAGTCTCAACTTCTTATGGAACTGAGACAATACTAGTGAAATTCTGAAAAATGCAATTAAAATCAAACTGACTAGTTTTCAGTTCCCTGGTTCTGAGGTAAAGCATTTCCAAATTAAGCATGGACAAAATTACAAAAGTAGGAAGTATAATGTTTAGCCAAGGTGCCTCACAGTAAATTACCTTCTGTTTTCTGAAGCTCAGCTTTCTTGCAATATACACTTCAATTAAAGGCTGTATGGTTGCTGTGGTTAAGCTGTTTTCACCTTAGGGATTGTTAAAGTTGATGTGTAATGTGGAAATCCTTAGCTCTTTTAGCTGAATCCAAGTTCTCTCACATACAGAATTCTTCTTAGTAGCCTTGGAATTTTCTGTTTTTTCTTTTTGTTTCTGTTCTTGCTGAACGTGTGTTACATGTATGCTTCAAGGGGAAGTCAGTGGAATTATTCTAGTTCAGCTTTTGTCATAGAGAACTAGTTGCATGACACCAAATGAGAGACAGACAATTCTCTCTTAATTTACCTGCAATTTCTGGTGCAGCAGCAGAGAAGACTTAGGCGGTGGGTGTAGAGCCCTGTAGAATTTCAGTGCTTTATCACAATTTAGTTCTTCAGGCCAGATGCCCTCTAATCTTCCACTTTTGAGTATGTTAGTGGCTGCTTGGAATTGAATTCTGCAAAAATTAGTTACCAGTATCATCTTCTTCCCTAACCTAGCAAAGAGATGGTGTCAAGGATGGTCCTGAACTGTAGCAGGCCACTCTCAAGCCTCTACCCATCCAGGCCTATAAGAGTGCCCACTGCCTCTCGTCAAAAACTTGCTGCCACCAACCTATCCTTTAAATCAAAAGGACAAGGGTTTCTTTCAAACAAATAAAAGGTTTATTGATTACACAAAATAAAAAGGGTGAATCACTGTTATAAAATTAAGTTGACAATCACTGTTTCTCAGGCACTAGCTCACACAGACGTTTCCCTCACTGACAGGCTCTTTCTCACTCTATCAATCACTCTAATCACTCATCTCTCCAACTCTGATCCCCTCTCACACATCACACAAGCCTTATATAACCCAGCTCCTCCCACTTCTGCACCACCCTCCGTCCTCTCATTGGCTGAGGTTCCCCTGCCCAGCTATGACGGACAGGTGAGAGCAGAGCTGAATGCCACATGAACTCTCCGTGAGGAGACTTCAGTTTGAAGCTGCAGTGTCCCTAGGGGCTCAGAACATTATGACCTCTTTGATAACTATAAAATGATTGGACGGATTCTCCCAGTCATCCCATCTTGCACTTCACTGCAGGCTTTGGAAAGAGTTTTCTCTTTGCTAGAATGATGACATTTTGTGATGTGCTGCTTGACCAAAAAAAAAATATATAGTATTACTCAGCCCTGTTTGGCATGTGTTGTCATGGACAGATTGATGCTCGGTAAAGTTTGCATTTAGCAGGACCAGGAACCTTGGTAGGCAACAACCTGAGATAGTGCACTGCAGGATGCAGATGGCTCATAATAGTTTCTTTTCCTCTGGTCTTTGCAATGAGGGAGAGGACTGACTGAATGGGCAGGGATAGTCGTGAACACCTTTTTTTCAACAAGAGGTGACTCTATCTGAGACCTTCTGGTCATGTTTTGCTTTCTAAGTTATCCCTGAAGCCCAGCACAACAGAAGGTTTCTGGATAGTCTCCAGCATACTCCCATTGGTGGACAAGAGGCAGGAACACATAATGGTAGCTTAGCTCATTACGTTATGTGTAGAATTCATAGGCTTCATTTTTCAGTATGTCATTCCAAAATGTGTGTTCATTAAGATTTGCTTCACTCTTGTCAATCTAGAAGTTTCAGGATTGGGAAGTACCATGCCTTTCTATTATAGATGTGCTCAGGTAAGACACCCAGGATAATTCAATGCATTTTGCAAATAAAGTGTTGCTTTTCTCTTGCCTGTAATTCCGAGTTCTCTTTTTCACATCAACTTTCCCCTCCATTTCTCAGAGCCCCAAACTGGTCTGTAACATCTGGCATTCTCAGCATTTAACAGAAAAATACAAGTTGGTGTTGTGTTTAAATTGGAGGAATGGTACTGAAGAGTTTTGTTTAGCTACAGCTGAGAAGATGCTGAAACTTGCTTCTCCTCCTGACAGGTGTTTGTTGACTGTTCAGCATCTGTCAACAATGCCCTATTTTGCATTCAAGCTACTGAGCACAAAGCTTACAGCTACTTCACATGATTTTCCCTCTAAGCCAGTGGTGTAGAACTGTGGCCCTCCAGATGTTCTTGGCCTTCAACTCCCAGAAATCCTGGCCAGCAGAGGTGGTGGTGAAGGCTTCTGGGAGTTGAAGTCCAAGAACATCTGGAGGGCCACAGCTCGACACCACTGCTCTAAGCCCAGCGTATTTGAAGACCAAAGAGTTGTGATTATGCTGAGGTCATTCATAGTATGATTTGGTGGATATAACACGCTGGGCTGAATTAAGATTACCATAATGGAGGAGTGCAATATAATAATCTTGATCCATCAGGGAACACTCAAGTGCTTTCCAGTTTTAAAAGCATGTACTTCGACCACTTGAAAACAGCATTGTGAACATACATAGTTTATTCTTGGCTCTAAGAAGGGAAAATGCATCAAAATAATGCAGATTTTGTGCTTGAAAATGAAGCACATCTATTTGGCTATGTTGTATTTCCCCGTTCCTAATAATGACAAACATTGCATTGGAGAGAAACCCAAAACATTGAAGCACTGGCTATTGGAAACTTTTCCCAGCTTCGTCCTCCCAAGCTTGAAAGGTCTCATTTACTGTCTCAACTCTATCTTTGTTACCAAAGCACATAAAATATTTTTTTTTAAAAAATCCTTCAAGGACTGAACAGCAGGTCTTCTACAGAATACAAAGCCCTGCTTGTGGTTCCTAGACTACGGAGCATCTGTCCCAACTGTGTACCCTGTAGACATCTTGGGGTGGAGCTTATTGTCCTTGCAAGCTGTGCTGCGTGGGAATCACTGGAGTTATAGTCCAACACATCTTGATGGCATCAGATCATGGAGGGCTTGTAAAGCATGTATGTTTTTTCCCCTATTTGATTATTGTGAAAATTGCTTGTAGGATTTGCTGGTTATGGCATTTGAAATCACAGGCATGGGAAAAGCTTTCTGTCTGAGATTTTTGCAGAGGGACTGGGTTAAAAGCTTGCTGCGAGTCAGAGATAATGGCTGGTGGAAATTGTGCTATTTTCCTTTATATCTGAATGGCCCTGCAGGCATGACCAGCGGGGGGTCACTCAAGTAATAGCTACAGATGACTTG